AAACCCCATATTGTCAACCATGCTCAATGGATACTCATGAGATAATCATATTTGCAAGATTTCTCTCCCCACCTTTTGATCTAAAGTAATTGTAATGTCTTTTTGGAATCTTGTCTTTGCATCCCGCAAGCATCATTTGTGATACATCTTGTTCTTTCGCCTTGCACAAATTTTATAATGATCATACAAATGCCTTGTTCCATTTTTAGAACCACCAATGAGCTGTCGGTGATAGTAGTACACTCCACCTTTCCTTCCCATCAACTAAGACTTTTTAGAAATGTTGCCATACAACTGACCTAGGCATTCTAGTTCCAAAAACATAAGTTTCCTATTGGGGAAATGGGGGAAGGGTTGAACCAGGGGTATCGGTCGTGATTGGTATCCAGTTCCCTGAACTGGAGATGGTTCTTGGTCATTCCATCAAGTGGAATATTTATGTGGGAACTCGCAATAGATACTTTTTTGGATGCCTCAGAAGATCGATTCACATCCTCTTTTAAACCCCTTCTTTTGGTCAATGTTGACATGGTGTAATGTAACATATCAATATCCTCCAAGACACCCCAAAAGAATAAACATGTTAAAAAAATAACTGCAAAAAAACCCCTACAACAGTTTACACATTTGTTAAAAAAAATTGCAATTGCAAAAAATAAACATGTTAAAAAAAGTGCGAACTGCAGTTTGCTTTTGCATCTATTGTGCAGTTTGCATGTGCAAAGTTTTCGAGCGAACTGCAGTGTAGTTTATGTTTACACCTTAGGCGGTTGCTTGCCAAGCTGCACTACAGTACTGCGTTTGTTTATTGTACAATTTGCACTTTGCACAAGCAAACTGCATAACAAGTTAATGCAAACTGCTTGCAGTTTGCACACTACAGCAGGTGCAATCTAAACTGCAAATATAACTTCAAGCACATAATATCTTTAATCACACGAACCAATCTTAACCCTTAAACCCCTAAAAACTTCAATCATAACTCAATCAATCTAAACCCTTAAACCCCACATAAAATCTTCAAGCATAACTGTAGCGCATAATCAATCAATTAATCTAATGCACTAAAATCTTCACTTAACGAACCAAAACTAATGAAAGCCCAAACTTTTAAGGAAACAAACCTCTTTTTCTTGAATCTTGACGCAAAAGGCTGGAGAAAGAAGAGAAGAGCCAACAATGAAATGTGGAGGCCGGAATCGATGGAGGCGATGATATTGCGATGAAGGTTTGACGATGAAGAGGTGGACCAGGCGACATCATTTTAACTAGATAAGAGATTTAGGGTTTCAACTTTCAAACTTTGAATCCATTATTCCATCATGAGTTGAGTTGATTGAGTTATGGATTTGGGCATAATTTGTTTTTTAAATGAAGGCAAAATTGTTATTATGAAAACATAACAAGGGCAAATGGTAATTACATAATAAATATGGAATTTTAAATTTGAAATAATGATTAAATCATTTAATTTATAAATGACAAGTCCACAAGGACTAATTTATAATGATTAAAAAATTTATAATGATCTATAGCATCCAAAAAAATTTGTTAGACTAGACCAAAATAAAAACTAATTACACATTAATATTTCTGTTAGGAAGGCGAAAATCCAGAAATTGTACATATTAGAGCATCTCTAACCCACGCCAAATTGGCGCAAAAAACACCAATTTGGCGTGGGTTGGTACTCCAACCCACACCAAACACTGCGCCATTTTGGCGCAGTGCTACAGTGCCGCACCAAATTTGGCGCGGCACTGTAGCACTGCGCCAAAATGGCGCAGCACTGTAGCATAATAAAAAAATATTTTTTTTTTTTTTAATTTTGATTTTTTTTTTTATTTGTTAAGTTAATTTGAGTATTAAATTTTACACCAAAAATCATACTAATTTTAGTATTTGTATTTAATTTAATTGATTATTATTTATAATAATGATATATTTAAAAATGATGACAAATAAAAAATAGACTTTATTCATGCAAATAAACTACAACTACAAAATAAAATTAACACTATTTAAAAACACAAAATTAAGAAAAATCAACATAAACTAAAATAACGATTTAGTATTCGGTAGATTAGTTTCGGATCCAGTAAGATCATCAAAATATTGAAAAGAATTTGAGTTATTTTGAGATCCTTGACCTTGTTGTTGACTCTTTTTTGCATAATCTTAATTGCTCATTTTGAAAAAACTCTGTACTTGGATCGGTTATAGATTCAATCCTTAAATAAAATTTTGTTATCTTCTCGATATTCTGCCAAGCCAATTTTTTCATTTGGATTTCATAATTTGGTGTCCTAGCTGAGTTGCCCTGATTGAAAATAGCAGCGAGCTGTCGATTCTCTTCTTGAATAGTTGCAAAACTGTTTAAAACTTCTTTATCATTTTTCCTTTTAATTTTGCTTTCTTCACCCCAATGGGTCGTTGAGCTGAACTACCCCCAATATTTTCTTCTTTATCTATTGTGGGAAGAACTACTAATTTGGAAAATTAAATTACTATCAATATGGATTTTACCTTGTGTTGTTGTTGTTTTTTTTTTTTTTGTTTTTTTTTTTTTTTTTTGTATCATTTATATTAGATGTAATGTTTTCTATATTAAATGTAAGTTTATTGATTAAATAAATGCTTAATTCTATTAAATTAGTAATTTTCAAAAAATATTATTTAATAAAAATATCATTCCCAATATTTAATTAATATATACAAAAATAATGAGTAAATAGATTAATTGTTGATTATACAAAAAAAAAAAAAAAGAATATTCTAAAGAATATTCTTTTTGGTGCAATATTTGGTGTTGTGGTTGGAGATGGAATAGTGTTTTGCACCAAATTTTGCACCAATTTGGTGCAATTTTGCACCAAATTGGTGCAATGTTTGAGATGGTCTTAGTATTTTTTTGTTAATGCTCACCTTCAACAATGTTGATTCCGCCCTTGGTTAATGATTATAATATCCAAATATCAAAATGATAATTATATACTATAACATAATATAAATATATTACATATTAACAGTTAAATTATGTATATTATTATATTAATAATAAGTATTAACATATGATATATGATTACGAATAATACATAATATTATATATATTAATAATTTTGTTTTTATAACATATTGTATATGTATAATAATTATATGAATATACCATAATATAAATTAAACTTACATTATATATTATTAAATTATATATATATATTTAATGTATGATAATACATATACTATATCCATATATATGTATATGTACAATGTAAAATGTATAATATCAAATGTATAATTTTTGTTCATAGGATTAACATATATATAAATATATATATATATTAATATATATATATATATAATATATATTAATATTAATATATTATATATAGAGAGAGAGAGAGAGAGAGAGAGAGAGAGAGAGAGAGAGAGAGAGAGAGAGAGAGAGAGAAGAGAGAAGTTATTATGTTTTACAAATATTTATAATGTTTATTATATTTAATCTAGTTTTATTTATTATCTATTTGTATAAGATTTAATAAATACTTAGACAATTATAATTTGTTATTGTATAATTAATATAATTTTCAAATATTAAATATTAATATAGGTATATATTTTGTTGATTTTTAATTTTATATATATATTATATATAACGGACTAGGCTGGCTGGGGATTTTAGGGTGGGACAAAACGGGGCCGGGCCGGTAGAGTGAGGCAAGACCTATCCCTGCCTTGGCCCGTCCCTAAATTCCTAGACTAATTTTGGCCCCCCTGCCCAAATCCCAAATGATTTGGAGAACCTCCACCATGTTCGGGCCTGGTCAGGGCAAGCAATGTTTTAAAACCCAACCCGGGGTGAAATTGGCAAATTTTCCAGGTCCCGGGTTGACCAGTTGACAAAAAATTTAAACTCAACAAATACACCCCTAAAAATTCCCTGCAAGTCCCCTACTTTGAACTTTATCAAACACACCCCAACTGAAAATTGATCGCCACTGATCGGCAGTGGCACACCCCAGATGCAACCCCAATCTTCCCCTGAGCCCATTTCCATTAAAATCTACCCAAGATCTGGCCGAAATAGATTCGATTTTGGCCAGATCTCACCGACCCGGCATGGTTATTCCAGGTCAGATCTCATCCACGCCGACGCTAACAAACCTCTCCATCACCCAGGAATTACTCCCCTTTTCCTCCTACCAAAACCCACCTCACCCCACCCCCGTTAGCCTCGCCAATCACCTGAAAAATCCCATTGTTGCCGCTGCCAGATTTCTTCGATTTCGGTCGATTTACTCACCGAAATCACCGCCGCCACCACCATTGCATTCACCGAACCTTAGTCTTCAAAAGCCATAACCTTCCGGCCGTCGATTGTTGTGCCGTCATCCTCACCCAAATCTTAGGGTGTTGGGGTGAATCGGAAAAGTTAAACCTGGCCCATTGAAGCTATCGGTCCCGTAAACCGGTCGGGGCTGTCTGGGGTTTTAAAACAATGAGAGAAAGTCCTCTAGGGCCAGGTTTTATGTCATCCCTAGTGGATGAGGGTGTTTTTATTAATTTTAAAACTTTTAATTTTTTGAGAAAGTAATTGTTAATGTTTTGAGTTGACTAGAATATGATTAGATTTTGAAGAATGTTAAACCAAATGCATTTTGTTTTTTTTAGGATTAGCAAATAGGAAAGTGGAAAAGAGTGTGCCAAATGGACCCTATTACTTTTATAATTAATTAATTAATTATGAGTATATTTAATATTAATCGATCTTAAAATGTAACGAAATAACCAATTATTAAAATACTGTGGATCTAACAGGATAGGAACCCCGTTTTTTGGTTTTCCAATTCTAAGCCCAAAATAAATCCAACCTCAAGGCCCACACCTACTGGCACTGGATACGGAGCTCCCAAAATAAATCTAGCCCGAAGGCACGCACCAACTCAATATGGAGCTCCGTGCCCATTAAAAAGTGAAAAAAAACTAAAACTAAAAAAAAAAAAAGGAAAGAAAAACAAAAGTAAAGCTTCAAAGTAGAAACCCTAATTTCCATTGCAGGTACGAATCCTTGAGCCCAAAACGTTAAATCATCATAATTCTCCGCTAAATTCTCAGTGTCGAAGAGCTTAGCATCACCAAAACGCTCGTTTCAGTCTCCGAGTCGAGCCATTCCATAATCCCAGGCAAGTTTTTTTCTATTTTATTTTATATTTGATATATGGAATTTTGACTGTTTTTTATGGCGAAAAAGCTCATGAAAACCACAGTAAGATGAATCTCTTAGTGTTAAATTTTGTTGCGCGGCTTTTCATGAAGATGTGATTTATTAAAAGGTAGAGTTAGGGTTCAATGCTGGAAATTTAATAGCCCAATTGGAAGGTAGTGCAAATTTTCAAATAAGATGAGCTGGGTTAGTTGTGATGTAATCATTGGTTGAATTATGGATTAGTAGAATGAAACCAAAATTTTACTAGTTATTAGAATTCTTACAGTGTTATCCCAAAATTCCCTCTTATTTATGTTCTGTTGTTCTTGTTGTTTAATTAATGCTGTATTTTTTATCCATGTAGGATTGCGCTTGTTTTGGCTCTTTGAGTCCGTGGACTTAAAATCAGATGAGGGAGAATAATTGAAGTTAAGAATGAGTAGGCTATCAATTCGGCCGCGGCCTTTAGACATACACAAGAAACTGCCCATTGTCAAATCAGTAAAAGATTTTGAAGACGACAACAATGATACTACACCTCCTCCTACTAGTACCAGTACAAGTGGTAATACCAATAATACTTCTGCCACCACCACACGCAACTCCCACCTCCTCCGTCTCAACTCTTCTTTTACAGACCATGACACCCCAGAGGTACTTCCTAACATGTGAGGAAACTTAGCAGTGTGCCATTTTGTTGTTTTCACTAGTGATTTATTATGTCTACCAGGTCCATCAAGCCCCTACCAAGAAATCAGCTTCTGAAATACCAACGCCTCAGTTTGTGGTAGTTGATACTTATGAGCGAGACTACTCTCAGACGTTTGCTCAGCCCAATTCTTATTTACGTGCAAGAGGAGGTTTGTTGATTTTTATTTTCTCTTATCTTTCAAGATTATTTAGATAAACATAACTTACATACTTCAGTTTCAATTATCGACATTGGCAGCTCGGGCTGAGATTGGGGAGTTTGTTGAATATGACTTAGACAATGAGGACGAGGATTGGCTCTATGAATTCAATAAAGACCGAAAAATTCTTACACCTGAAAAGTAATTCATGATATTTGTCTTCTATCGTTTTCTTATTGTGATTTTTATGAGGGATATTAAAGCAGATAGAATTTATGCTCTCTGATGCCACTGTATTAAAAAATGATCTTGAAAAGCTTATTTGTTTTCAGTTGGCCCAATTTATATAGGATTTTCTTCTCTTGTTTTATGCATGAACTGCAGATTTGAGATTCTTCTTTTTAAGTTGGAGGTGTTGGATCATAAAGCTCGGGAAAGAGCTGGACTTATAACACCTACTCTTGGTTCGCCCATTCCTGTACTTCTACAACTAGATGTTGCTATTGAGGTGAAACTTTGTTTGCATTGTTTGGATTCTTACCCATTTCAGTTTTTGATGCCAGTTACTCTCACTTTGTGCATAACTTAATATAATTATAATTTGCATGTAATTGTTGATCCAAATATATAAACGAATTGATTACATGTGTCATGCTGTTACCCTAGAAAACATTGAGTGATACTTAGTTTTGCGTTTATTAAAAGGTAAAAATTCTTGTTCCTTCTTGAAAGATATCAAAATTTAGACTAGGAAGAAATTTTCCACATACTTTTTTTTATTAGAAACAGAAAGATTTATTTTACTTGTAAAAAGCAAACAGTTGATAAGGTATCCACTACAACAAAAAGAACCCATCTATGTAGGGTCCAAGAGTTTACAAGCTTGTATTTCTCGCTTAAAATACTAATTTCTCCTCCAGAGTCTTCATTAATCTTATTATTTCTTTCCCCCCAAATCACCAAGAGTAGATTAAGAACTACTTTTTTTGGGAATCTTGGCCTTATTTCCTTTTTCCAAGAAAGAGAAATTTTCCATGAGTAAATCGGAACAAGATCTAGGTGTAACTCATTGAAGATTGGTTTCTCTACAAACTTAAGCCCATAATAGAAAAGCCATTGGATAGTCACAGAACTTTGTATCATTTTTGCACATAACATTTGTGTGGGTAGAGGTATATTTGACGTTACTTTAATTGGATAGTGTCTATTTGATAGAAACCCACTCCAATAACTCAACAATTTGGGCTGGGCCATGGGTCTTTCATGGGCTTGGGTAGAACTCTCCTTGGAAAACCGGCTTGCCAAGGGAGGGTGCCCAAGCCTTTATAACCCACATGCCCACCCTTTTCCCTTTCAATGTGGGATCCCAACACTATTGTATCGTGTTTTACTTGAAAGTTCGTTCAAGCCCTAGAATTCTAGGAGAATTTGCCTTCCAATGTGAATGTTTCTATTTGAAATCAACTAGAGGATTTTCTTCACATAAAGTCAAGCTTCTGTTTACATGTCTTCTCTCAACTAATTAATGGAAACATTATTGAGCAGCCACAAAAAATCAGTGAATTCTTTAACCTCTCTCCCTTTCAATCTCCTTTTGAGGTTTAAGATAAGCTCCCAAGGGAAGAAGTGTCAAAAGAGGCATAAATAGTGACTCTTCTATTGAGATTCAATCTATGAAGAAGGCAAAATTGATTTCTTATCTCTAGAGCTAAAATCCTCCTAAAACTCCCAAGCCATTTATCCTCCAAGGGTGATACTCCCTGCCATTTCTTATCTCTAAAGCATTGAAGGACTTGAATGTAGGGACACGACAATTTAATTTTCTTTTTCTATCCCAAAACTGAATTTCCTTGCTCCTAAAATTTTTGGCCTTTTCTCCCACGAAAAGAAAAGAGTGTCATTGGTAAATTGAAGATGGGACACCTCAATTAATTTTCTTTTGCCATCCCAAAACTGAATTTCCTTGCACCTAAAAATCTTGGCCTTCTCTCCCATGAAAAGAAAAGAGTGTTGTTGGTAAATTGAAGATTGGACTCCTCAATTTAATTTAAGATAAGCTCCTTGAACGATCACTAATGATAATAGAAAATTTTATAGTCAGTAGACAGCACTTTATCCACCTTGTCCATTTCACCCCAAAGGCTTGGTTTGAAGGGCAGTCAAGAAAGTCCTTGTCAATGAGGTCTAGGCTTTTTTGAAGTCTATTTTTACAACGGTCCCTTCTCTCTTTCTTTTTTCGCCTATACTTCACCACCATTAGTAACCAACACAACATGAAAAACTTGTTGATCCTTTTTGAATATTGACTGGGGCGTTGAGATTTTAGCCCTTAGAATTGTGGTTTTCAAAATCAGTGTTGTTTGTTGCTTTTAAGAGAATGTGGCACTCCAAATGTGGCGGCCAAGGTACAGTAGTCAAAAGTCTTACTGATTTATTACAGGTTTACTTGTCAGGGGGGTGATGTCCCTCCCTTTTAGCTGATTTTTTATACAAGTCTTTCTTTCTGTGGCTGTCCCATGTGGCCATTTAATTAAGAGGAGCTACATTACATAAACTAGAGTACAGTCAGGACATTTTGATACAGGTTCTTAGATTATGTTTACATAACCTAAAGTTGAGAAGTAATGGAGACAGATTTAAGGAACAGTATATAAATCAGTAAACATGGAATTCCGTTTGTCCATGAAATATAGGATGGCTGGATATATCTGCAGGTTAATAAAAAAACATAGGTCATTATGCTGTACTATTTACGAAAAGAAAAAAAAAAGATAATAAAAGAGAGAGAGATGAGAAAGAGAGAAAAAAGTTGACATTTGACATGCAAAAAGTACTTGCAAACTGTGTTCTCTTCCAATGTCATGATATTTGCCTCTTGTCTACACATTTTTTGGCATGGTCTTATTTTCATGTTTTCTCTACCTGCAGACTCAAAGAGAGCTTAAGACTTAATTCTACTGTAGGTCTAGTAATTTTGGTGTCTTGTTTAGTGCTTTTATAATCTAATTCATTGAGTTGAGTGTATTGCTTCTCTATTTGAACTTATAATGCATCAGTTTTGAACTTTTGATGCAATAGAAGATCAATTGTGCTTTACAACATTTTGAGTGATGTTTACCATTAGAATGCTGCTTTGTTGAATCACTTGATGAATATACAATATATTTTAGTAATTCTAATCTTCTTTGTCCCTTTTCAATGATAGGCACTACAAGCTCAGACCATCAGATTTGCAGTCTTCCAGTCTGTTTATAATTATTGGAAAGACAAGGTATGATTTAAAATACCATGCTGAGAAGGCTTTGGAATCATGAGCTTAGGAAAGGGAAAATTCTGACAAAATTTTTGACATTTTGCTGTAGTTAGTTTTCATCGTTTGGAAGGAGGTATTATTAAAAACAAAGCCCAAATTTCAATCTATAAAAGTTTCTAAAAATAGGTGTAACTGTAGGTGCAATTGCCCTCGTGTAATCATTTCATATGTGGTGAGCATCACAAATTCAAGATGATCTTATCATAAGAATAAATATAACAGTGGAAATTATTACTTTTCCTTCCAAGTTTTATAGGTTTTGGTTAGTAAGAGATGACATACATAAATTTAACACCGTGACACTTAGATTGATCAACTGATGAATATTCATTCCAGCGAAGTTAACAAATTCATACTGTATTACTAGTACGTGTACATGCTTTAATTTTTATTCTTCTTCTGTTCTTGGGCAGCGTGAAAGATGGCAGAAACCTATATTGCGACGTTTGCAGGTTAGTATTGTCACTTGTTTATGTATAGAGAGTTTCTATGGACCACTGTTTGGATTAAGTACAATGGAATTGTCATTACCTTGGTTTCAAATATCTTGTTTCATCAAATTATATAGATTTTCTATTGTAGTTTTCATTTACGTTGAAATATTAACTTTGCTCCCAGTGTGTGCAGTTGGTTCCCCTCTATATAGTATCATTTTTTTTAGTCTGCCAGCTAAACAAGTCTAGCACTAGGCCTTCTACAAACTTAATATTTAATGATCAATGCTTGGAAAATCTAGTCACAAAACCAACAAATTGATCTTAATTTTGAATGGGCCATGGACAATCGTATGCTTGACTATGAACTTTTTGTAATTAGCTTGTAAATCTGGAGGTAATGAATAAAAACAAATAGAAAAGTTAAAAGAAAATTAACTGAACTTTGTATTCACAAAAATTTTATTTGGGTATATTCAGTTGTTATGCCTTGTGTTTGTGTGTATTGTGTGCATGGATCTATCTATCTTGTAATTTTTTTCTACTGCACACTATGGATCAACCTATCTTAACATTGGCTACATTTTTTTTTTTTTTTTTTGTACAGCCTCCTCCGCCGGTTAATGATACCAACCCATACAATGTCTTTAGGCCAAGGGAGAAAGCCCACAGACTCCATACCAGAAGGGTAGGTGACTGTGACTGTGACTGTGACAGTTACTTTTGCTTGTTTGATCTTGNGTCCCTTCTCTCTTTCTTTTTTCGCCTATACTTCACCACCATTAGTAACCAACACAACATGAAAAACTTGTCGATCCTTTTTGAATATTGACTGGGGCGTTGAGATTTTAGCCCTTAGAATTGTGGTTTTCAAAATCAGTGTTGTTTGTTGCTTTTAAGAGAATGTGGCACTCCAAATGTGGCGGCCAAGGTACAGTAGTCAAAAGTCTTACTGATTTATTACAGGTTTACTTGTCAGGGGGGTGATGTCCCTCCCTTTTAGCTGATTTTTTATACAAGTCTTTCTTTCTGTGGCTGTCCCATGTGGCCATTTAATTAAGAGGAGCTACATTACATAAACTAGAGTACAGTCAGGACATTTTGATACAGGTTCTTAGATTATGTTTACATAACCTAAAGTTGAGAAGTAATGGAGACAGATTTAAGGAACAGTATATAAATCAGTAAACATGGAATTCCGTTTGTCCATGAAATATAGGATGGCTGGATATATCTGCAGGTTAATAAAAAAACATAGGTCATTATGCTGTACTATTTACGAAAAGAAAAAAAAAAGATAATAAAAGAGAGAGAGATGAGAAAGAGAGAAAAAAGTTGACATTTGACATGCAAAAAGTACTTGCAAACTGTGTTCTCTTCCAATGTCATGATATTTGCCTCTTGTCTACACATTTTTTGGCATGGTCTTATTTTCATGTTTTCTCTACCTGCAGACTCAAAGAGAGCTTAAGACTTAATTCTACTGTAGGTCTAGTAATTTTGGTGTCTTGTTTAGTGCTTTTATAATCTAATTCATTGAGTTGAGTGTATTGCTTCTCTATTTGAACTTATAATGCATCAGTTTTGAACTTTTGATGCAATAGAAGATCAATTGTGCTTTACAACATTTTGAGTGATGTTTACCATTAGAATGCTGCTTTGTTGAATCACTTGATGAATATACAATATATTTTAGTAATTCTAATCTTCTTTGTCCCTTTTCAATGATAGGCACTACAAGCTCAGACCATCAGATTTGCAGTCTTCCAGTCTGTTTATAATTATTGGAAAGACAAGGTATGATTTAAAATACCATGCTGAGAAGGCTTTGGAATCATGAGCTTAGGAAAGGGAAAATTCTGACAAAATTTTTGACATTTTGCTGTAGTTAGTTTTCATCGTTTGGAAGGAGGTATTATTAAAAACAAAGCCCAAATTTCAATCTATAAAAGTTTCTAAAAATAGGTGTAACTGTAGGTGCAATTGCCCTCGTGTAATCATTTCATATGTGGTGAGCATCACAAATTCAAGATGATCTTATCATAAGAATAAATATAACAGTGGAAATTATTACTTTTCCTTCCAAGTTTTATAGGTTTTGGTTAGTAAGAGATGACATACATAAATTTAACACCGTGACACTTAGATTGATCAACTGATGAATATTCATTCCAGCGAAGTTAACAAATTCATACTGTATTACTAGTACGTGTACATGCTTTAATTTTTTTTCTTCTTCTGTTCTTGGGCAGCGTGAAAGATGGCAGAAACCTATATTGCGACGTTTGCAGGTTAGTATTGTCACTTGTTTATGTATAGAGAGTTTCTATGGACCACTGTTTGGATTAAGTACAATGGAATTGTCATTACCTTGGTTTCAAATATCTTGTTTCATCAAATTATATAGATTTTCTATTGTAGTTTTTATTTACGTTGAAATATTAACTTTGCTCCCAGTGTGTGCAGTTGGTTCCCCTCTATATAGTATCATTTTTTTTAGTCTGCCAGCTAAACAAGTCTAGCACTAGGCCTTCTACAAACTTAATATTTAATGATCAATGCTTGGAAAATCTAGTCACAAAACCAACAAATTGATCTTAATTTTGAATGGGCCATGGACAATCGTATGCTTGACTATGAACTTTTTGTAATTAGCTTGTAAATCTGGAGGTAATGAATAAAAACAAATAGAAAAGTTAAAAGAAAATTAACTGAACTTTGTATTCACAAAAATTTTATTTGGGTATATTCAGTTGTTATGCCTTGTGTTTGTGTGTATTGTGTGCATGGATCTTTCTATCTTGTAATTTTTTTCTACTGCACACTATGGATCAACCTATCTTAACATTGGCTACATTTTTTTTTTTTTTGTACAGCCTCCTCCGCCGGTTAATGATACCAACCCATACAATGTCTTTAGGCCAAGGGAGAAAGCCCACAGACTCCATACCAGAAGGGTAGGTGACTGTGACTGTGACTGTGACAGTTACTTTTGCTTGTTTGATCTTGTTGATGAAAACTTTTCTCTCTTTTATTTGGCTTTTTATTAAGCTGCATTGTTGGTAATTATCCTAACCTTATCGAATCTCTTGTGTAGATGCAAAGGAGAGAAAATAATGTGCAGTCATTTGAAAAGCTTCGCCAGGTGAGCACCACTATATCTTGGTTTATTGTCAATCCCTGGACTCTACTATGAACTTAGTACTCAAAAATACCCTTAAATCCATTTGTAGAAAATTGTTTCCACAAGCTTGGTTTTTTGAAAAGTCTACATCTATGTTCACTGTGACTACTGCCTTTGATTTTGCATTTCCATGAAACACTTAGAAAAATTTGAGACAAATGATAATTTGTAGTATGTTGTTTTCTCAAACTGGTGAGTGTTTTTATTTATATGCTCTATGATGTTTCCCTCCCATTCTTGGTCCATATAGTTTTTTATTTCCAGTTTTGTTATGACTATATTCTGTTTTGCTGTTTTATTAAGCAATAGTTTACTGCTTATAATGAAATCATTTCCGACTGATAAATTGTACATTGTGCTTACCTTTATAGTTTGACATTGTCGATAAACTATTGCATGATGCATTTTGGAATAATAGAAAATTGTAATCTATTTGCTGGTTTAGGATCATTAATGGTTTAGAATGTATCAAGTCATTCTGATGTCTTCATTTGGCATTACCCTGGTCTATTAGATGCCAATTGTAGTTGAGAATGTATGGTGATGGATTTTAGCATTTAGGGGCATCTTGTGAGATATCAAAGAAATAAAGGAACTCCAGGTCTGTTTGATGTGATGAATGTGTCTTAAGTTGTCAGTATTATATGATGTGTACATTTTAGAGAATTAAGTGATCTATATCTTCATCTGACCTTCTGCTGACTGAGATGTGATGTTAAAAGTTATGCTTGACTCATCTGAAACATCAGCTTGGAAAGTTTTGATGAATTTCAAAGATGCACAAGTGACTATTTGTTAGGCACTATCTTTCTCGGCACAGACGTCTCTCAAGCACGAGGCATGTGGATCTGTATCCATTTGAAACAACGACATCTCTATTTTATTCTTTTCTGTGCTGTGAATTGTTGCCATCATTTTGCTATGGTTTTAATTGAATGTGTTATATTTGTTTAATGTATATCTTTATTTGCTATTATCATCTTGGAAAGTTGTCTCATCATATTATTTTTCTTTATTGTCATTAGAAATTAAAACAATTTCTTTTGGAATTACTGTTTTCAGGTCAGACGCAACCTTGACCAAGCAAAGACTATACTTGAGGCTTTGATTAAGGTAATCTTTCTAGTTAAAATTTTAGGATTTATCTTTGCTTATTCTATATTTATCTGGTAATTAATAATTTTTATGTTCTTTATTTACTTGGAGTGCTCATTGCCTTCGGATGTGTATGTATGTAGAGAGAAGAGAAAAAGAGAGATGTCTTGGAGAGTGAAGTTAATCTCCAAAGGATGCAAGTGAAGTACAAGGTAAGTGTATGATGTCACATTGCAAAATCCTTGGTTCCTTAGTTGTTGAAGATGCACTAAAACATCTTTGGATTTTAGTATGAAGTTTGAGGACTTAGGAAATGGCTGCTGCTATGGACCGATCATAAAGAATATACGAGACATTTTAACTAGACCATAGTAATAGGGATACAAGGTCTTTTATGGTGAAAAAGTCATGGTAGGTCATGATGCAAGGAATCCTTTTCCTATGCATGAAATTCACTTTATGATAAGCTAATATATCCCTTGTGTTTCCTGACTTTATAGCATATTTTTAGACTTCGCTGAATTTATTCACTTGGACAACCTGTTGATCTAAAGACTGAGACCAGTTTATTTATTTATTTATTTAGTTTTTGGGACTCTTTCCTTCCTTTTTCTCAAACTTCCTTTCCATTCGGTGGGCCACCTTGTGGTAATGCAATTTAGTATTTGTTATCAATTAATGCATGGGTCGTGTTTTCAGCATGAAATTGAGCTTCTCGAGGATAGCTTGGCACTTCCTGGGTTTCCTCCTGTTTCTTGCAAGTTTGCTTCAAGCGAGGATGAATTGGTGGACTCAGATGACCTTGCAAGTAGCCGCCCGCGTATGCGACCTGCTGCAGTTCAAAATCAACCGTACACAGAGTCCAACGTGGTTACAGTTCCAACAGCAAACATTAAGCAAGAGTTCAGGCGTCGACATACACCACTTGGATGGCTGCATAAATTGGTATATAAAAAGTCCTTTCTACCTATTCAATTGCTGCCTGTACCCCACACTTGCAGGCCCCAACTAATAGTTGCCATATTTCATATTTGCCAGTCTCATACTAGTTAAACATTGACCTAATGACAGTATATATATTTGGGAAAAAAAAAAAAAAAAAAAGGAGACTGGGCTTCACCCTTCTTGTATTGTGAAATGTTAACTGCATCCTAGTGAATGTAAACTATTTTTTTGGGTCAAATGCAGGATCCTCTTGAGCCAGTTTTGTTGTTCACGAAACCTCTGGTCCCAGAAAAGTTAGTTGCTGCAGGCATTGTCCCACCATCAGATACTTCAGCCAAGAATGGCACGTCGGCACCAACTTATAAATTTCACGGAAGAATTGGCCGAGGGGGTCGTATAGTGTTTGATAGATGGAATCCTCTTATGCATACTCCAATTGATTGTGGTACATCTTTTTACATTCCGCCAAAACCTCGCTCATCAACATATAATTAAAATCGAATTCTTGGTTGTCTTAATTCAAGCTGTTACTGAAAATCCCTCTGTAATGGTTTTGATCGATATTTCATGTTATACAGTGGGACAAGCGAAAACGGCGAGGGTTGATGAATGAATTGTTGGTTTTGGTAATGTGTATTTTTGGCCATGCCAGGAAGCTAACCCTACGTATCTATCATGTTATTCCATTAGCTCTTGTTTGTCATTTCTTGCTCCTGTTCTCTCTCTCTCTCTCTCTCTCTCTCTCTCTCTCTCTCTCTCTGTGCATGCCTCTGTATATGAATGTGCATAATTCCTTTTTGTTTTTGGACTACTTGCATGCTTTACTTCAAAGGATAACTTGTACAAGTTATTGACTGGATCCAGGAACATGAACATAAAGACAGTCAAAACAGTTTGTCATTCTGTTTTTCTATTTATAACATTGATGTTTATTCTATCGAAAAGGAGGGGGGGAAAAGAGTTAAAATTTCTTATAAGCACACTTCAAAATCAATGTCATTGTTTAAGGTATGGAAAATAAACATTGGAAAGAGTGTTAAAGTTCAACTCCTCCATTGCAGCCATTAAAAATGAGATTTGCATTTGCAGGGTTACTTTGTAAATCAATTAGTCTCCTTGAATTCCCTGAATAATGAATCACCAAACGCATTGATTAATTGTTCATCGTACCAAAGGAGAACCATAAAAGATAACCATATCATTACGGGAGGGTCTCCTTTGGGTGGGAAAATAACAATTTCGGTCTTGAAGCTTTCTCTAACGTAGAAATTTTTTAATAATGTTTTGGTTACTGTCTGATCTGTGTAATTAAGAAACATGGGGGAACAAAATGTTTCTGACAAGGAAGAAACCATTAAGTATTACTTAAACCAAATCTCAGGATGAAATTTTTATTATCTCCCTTTGCTCACTTCTTAGCAATCTAATAAAAAAATTAGTCCGCTGAAGAAAATTTAATCCTGTCCGGCAGTGTCCGTCCACCCTGTCCAATGTGATTTCTGATATCGGTCTGTTTAAACCGTTGCATGGATTGAAAATAAGAGAAGAGTTTTCTTCTTCAGTTCTCATGTTTTTAGGGGATCTGTTTAATACGTTGGTTAACTTCTCCAATTTTTATATGGACAATACTAGTTTTAGAAAGATACATATAAAGGGGGCATACAAAATCAATCCCTACCCTTGATTTTCATGATTTCTCTCTTTATCTCTCTTTCTCTTTTTCCGTTTTTTTTTGTTTTTTTATTTTTATTTTTGGATGATGTCACTTTATAACCCTCTTTATATGGGTCTTTATAAGGATATCATTTTTCTTTTTATATATGCATGCCTTCCATTTGTTATCTTTACTGTTATTTCTTCCACTTCCTGCAACTGTGCAACAAACTCTTTCCTTTAAATTTTCTTGCATTCTACAAAACTCTACAAACAATTATGAGTCCCTTCAGCAGCGTTTTCTTGTTTATCATTCTACTATTGCCAAATGTTTTCGCCATTAATTTTCCACCCAAAGTATTTGTCAATATCACCAATGATTTAAAATCAGGGTTGACTCTAAACCTTCATTGTAAATCCAAGAATGATGACCTCGGTCAGCAAGAGCTCACAAAAGGGGCGAGCTTTCTTTTCAAATTTCGCAAAATGGTTTTCGGAGGAACCCTATTTCACTGCAGAGTTGTATGGAAAGGCGCCAACCATACATTCAATTTTTACAACCAGGACCATGATAAATGCAGGCATTGCAACTGGAGTATAAAATCAAATGGTCCATGTATGGCTCTTACCGCTGATAAAGCATATATTTGTTACGAGTGGCGTTCCTGATTATTAAAGTGATACGTACAAACTCACTTCTCTTTGTTAATGTTAAGTTATTAATATAATGATACTCAATCTTCTGATTATGGATATAAATATTATCTGTAATCAATAGAAAAATGTGAGTAAATCTATAATCTCTCCTATAATGGATGAAAATATTTGATGTATTTATGTTTTCTATATATATTTAAAATATAATATTTTAATCATAATTACGTATATTTGTTTCTAAATAAAGAAAACAATTAATATTGTTATGACTAAAAAGTGTAAGCTCATGACAGCAAGGGTCAATCAAAGTTCAGGAAGGTTTTGTGTTGTCCAGATGCTACCACGTCGCACAAGGATGGAAGAAGTAAGGTTGTCGTCAGCGTGGCAGGTGAAAGGTTGGCTTGTGAGTGACTAAGAATTGTCCACCTGTCCAAGCCCTAAGCGATTTAAGGATATCTCCTGTACGGTCAGCCAATGGGAAGCAAGGTAGGAATTGTACCACACCTACCCGACTGCAAAATCATGATTATTATCTTAAATCACTCGACTATAAATAAAGGGGTTCTCTCTCATTTACGGAATCCGTTCATTTTTTATCTTCAAAGAGCAGACTCTCTCTCTCTGTAGTTAAATTCTCCCTAGATTGTAACTCAGCTCGCTACTTACGACTTGACTGTAATCATCCATCAATACAAATATAGTGGACGTAAGATTCGCTTTTTAGCATCCCAACCACTTTAAAAATTGTCTTTAATTTATTCTTTCATTGCACGTTTTCATATCATGTGTAACTTCTAAATCCGCTTAACATTTTACACGTGCAAGTCATTGGTGTCAAAATCAAACATTAACAAATACAATAATTAATTATGTTAAGAATCACCACATTAAAGACCAAATAATGTTTTTTTTCTTAATTCTTTCTATCATAATTATCGTGGTAATTATTTTTATAAAAAAATTTCTATTAAAACCAGATTCCCTCTTAAAGTCATTCCTTAAAAATTAATATAAATAACAGCTTCGATATAATATTCTTCCACAAATTAAGAAGCCATGAAACCTTTCACAAGTCTTTTACTGTTTCTCATTCATAGGTTTACGAATAATTAGAATCAGGGTCTGCCCTAAACCTTCATTGCAAATCCAAGGATGATGACCTGGGTTCGCAAGAGCTCCAAAACGGGCAGAACTTCTACTTTAGTTTTCGTATAAGGTTCTTGGGAGGAACCCTATTTTACTGCAGAGTAGAATGGAACAGCATCGTCCATTGGCTCGATTTCTACGACCAGGACAGTTATTAATGTAAGCATTGCAGCTGGAGTATTATTACAAAGGGTCCATGTTTGGTTCATCCTGATGACCCAAAAAAACATCCTAAATGTTATCACTGGAATTGATCAATAATGTAATAAATGCATGAATTGCTTCTTTTTGTTTATGTTAAAATAATAATATCGCATAAAAGATGCAATAATTTTGGAATCATATAAATTTTATTAATTAAAAAAAACATTAATTAATCGATAAATTAATAATTTATTGACGTTTAAATTAGATATGAGATCCAACAAGATTCAAAACATCAATAACACTTTATAATTTTTTATTACAAATCGAGAATTCAACCCCATTGGATAAAACTCCACAAATTAACAAGCCATGAAACCTTTCACAAGCCTTTTACTGTTTCTCATTCTTTAAATGCCAAACGTTTTGGGGAATAATTCCCACCCCCCAAAAAAAGAGTATATGTTAATATTACGAATAATTTAGAATCAGGGTCTGCCCTAAACCTTCATTGCAAATCCAAGGATAATAACCTTGTTCCGCAAGAGCTCCAAAACGGGAACCCTATTTTACTGCAGAGTAGAATGGAGCGGCATCGTCCATTGGTTCGATTTCTACGACCGGGACAGGGATAAATGTAGGCATTGCAGCTGGAGTACTGTTACGAAGGGTCCATGTATGGTTCATCCTGAACAGCCAAAAAATGATCCTTTTTGTTAACAGTGGAATTGATCAATAATGTAATACATGCATGTGTAAAACATGGATGAATTTTTTCATGAAATAAAATGTCTATTTTAATTACTCTAAACACCCTGTGTTAGTAAATATTCTTACTTATGTTACTTTTGCTTTATTTATATTAGTAAGTACAATTTCATGGGGGTTTTCATCACAAGGAAGAAACCAGAATGTTGGTTGAATCAAACCCTGTTAAGACATTTTTGAATTTCAACAATATAAAATTGTTGTTTTATATATATACAGTATAGCCTCTATAAATTAATAACTTTAGAATCATATAAATTCTATTAATTAAAAGATGTATTAATTAATCAATAAATTAATAAATTATTAATTTATATAGTGTATTTAAGAGTCAACGAACAAACATTTAAATTAGAGATGTGATCCAACAAGATTCAAAGCATCAACAAAACTTTATAACGTTTTATTGCAATTCAAGAATTCAAACCCATAACTTCTAGATGCAATAAGAAAACTTAGAGATGAGATCCAACAAGATTTAAATTTCAAGAAAAACAAGTAATAATAGAGTCACATTTTAATAAAATATCATAGTCAATTAGTAAATTATTTATTTATGATATGAATGAAACACAAAATTATGTAAGGTTTCCCAAAAAAGTATTATTTTATTAATTTATCAAAATTATTAATTTAACCTATTAGCTCAAGTCGGAAGTCGGAACCGTAAAAAATTATTATATAATAGATAATTGCATATAGATAAAGAAGTCTTTGATAACTGCATAAAAATATCGGCCAAACGACATACCTAAGGTTTGCCGAAACGACAAGTTGATACCCAAAAGGTTTTGAAGCGACAAATAGGTACCTTCCGTCATGTTTTGTTAGTGATTTTCGTTTGATAATATTAAAAAGACTAGAATGCCCTTAAAAGTTTGATATTTTAGTTTTTTATAAATTTAAAAATCTCTAAAAAACCCCCTAGGTTTGCTAATTTGACTAAATACCCCAATATATAAATTTTTTGTAAAATAACAAAAGCACCCCTGCCACCCGCAGTACTAGATCCCGGCTGGCAGAAAAATTGCGTTACGACACAGACCCGTCGGATCTGTGTCGTAACATGTCGATCTAGCCTCGACGGCCAGATCTGGCCGGAAAATGCCAAATCGACACGTTACAACACAGATCCGACGGGTCTGTGTCGTAACGCAATTTTTGACTAGATTTCGACCTCGACGACCAGATCTAGCCGTAGATCTGGCCTTTTTCGGCCAGATCAACCACGGATCTTGCCAGAAAATGTTAGATCTACGCGTTACGACACAAATCCGACAGGTCTGTGTCGTAACGCAATCTTTCGACCAGATCCCGGCAGTGGTTGTAGGAATCTGGCACTGCGGGTGGCGGGGGTGTTTTTGTTATTTTATAAAATTTTTATATATTGAGGTATTTAGTCAAATTAGCAAACCTAGAGGGTTTTTTAGAAATTTTTAAATTAATAAAAAAACTAAAATATCAAACTTTTAAGGGCATTCTAGTCTTTTCACTATTATCAAACGAAAATCACTAACAGAACATAACGAAAGGTACCTATTTTTCGTTTCAAAACTTTTTAGGTACCAACTAATCGTTTCGACAAATCTTGGGTATGCGTAAATGGTTCCGCCTAAAAATATCTAAGTATTATTAATTGCATGATGCATTTTCATTCTCCATTTTTAGATAGTTTTAATGATGGTGAGTTAGTATAATAAATGCATTCAAAGAATCAAAGTGTTTTGTTAATATTTTCTCCTTTCTGTATGGCCTCATTCCTTTGAGTAACAATCTCTTGAAACCTCAAATTGTGTCACAACCAAAAAAAAAAAAAAATATGAGCTTATTCGCCAGAAATGCCATTATACATGCACTTCTGCTGCTGGGATTGCTCGTATGCAAGAGCGGAGGCATCAGTTTACGACTACCCAAAGTTGCAGTGGTGATCACTAACGATTTGAGCTCGTGCTTAGACCTCACCGTCCATTGTAAATCCAAGGAAGACGACTTGGGCGAGCAGGTTATTCCGTTTAATAACATCTATGAATTCTCTTTCCACCCAGATTTCTTTGCAACAACTCAGTTCTACTGCAGAATGAAGTGGACACCAGAATGGTATTGGTTTGATATATTTGTGTCAACCAGGGATTATCATGTATGTGGAAAGCGTTGTTTGTGGATTATAAGACAAGGTGGGCCATGCATGTTCAATCAAACAATTATGCAATACAATATATGTTATGAATGGAATGAAGGTTAAGCTTTTAATTTTTCATCCGCTTTAATAAAAGTTTGGCTCTCTGCACTGTGTTGTTTAATAAAAGGAGCTCAATTATATTTTTGTGGTTCCAATGTATTATTTCAGAATTAAATTGACATTTTGAAAGCTCAAAGGCCATCATAATAAGGTGAAGAGAATTAATCATCCTTCAACCAATTCAATGCACTTCAAAAATTATGTACGATATTGATGGTACATGAATTACCAAATTCATTTCCGCGAATCTATCAAATTTCATCACTTCCCTCAATTTGGCTTCAAGAAATTAGGTTTCCTGAGGCATTTTTTTCTTTGGGACAAATTATATTTCTTGTAGTGAGTCCCCTCCTTTCTTTAAGGGAATCGAGCCACTGGAAGTGAACTCACTCGGCTAAGCAAAGCAACAATAAAATAGAGTGCTTCTTCCTGTAATGTTTCTCTTGAAATGAAAAGCATAATCCAATTGATAAAAACGATCTGTTCACCAAGATCATCATCCTGGGATTTACAATGAAAGGTAAGCTTGAACTCTTTTTCAAATAATTTCTTATTTCCTCTAACTTCCTTAAAAGTTTCCTTCAAATTGAATAGTACATAATTCAACTTAATCAAAACGCTGAAAGGTTTAAAGGAAGATTATGTGATTTTCTCTTTGACAAAGAAACAATTTTAGTGTTAGACATACATAAGCTGAAGAGAAACATCGGTAAACCAATTCAATGCACTAGAGGATTTTCAAGATATATTTGTGATGGTAATATCAACTGTACAACAATGTTACTATACTGTACTAGTTGTAGAGGGATATACAGAATTTAAGGGCAAAATCAATTACCCACATAAACTAAAAGATGATATTTGAAATTTTACAGGGTATTATTATCATCTTGCTATTGCAAATAATTTATGAGGAAGAATCAGAGCAAAAAATATCTGAGTTAATAAGTAGTTGGAAACTGTCACCTACTTTCACGAAGCATGATCTTTGTCTTTGAGAGGAATTTCATAACTTGGAGAAGAAATAAATTTCCCTTCTCGCTTGTCAGACTCAATAAGCATTGATACAACATCCCGCATTGATGGCCTACCAGAAGGGTTCATACTTGTGCACATTAAAGCAATTTTTAAGACAAGAATCATGTGATCAACAGTACTTTTCTCTTCGAGATTTAACCGAGCATCAAGTATCCCAGGTGTCAATGAGTGGTTCCGAACATAATGTTTCACCAAAGTAACAAGATCGCCTCCTTGATCTAATGATTGTACAGGAGTTCTTCCAGTTAGCAACTCCAATAGAACAACTCCATAGCTATAGATGTCACATTTTTCGGTAACCTTCATGGTGTATGCATATTCTGCCGTTAAAAAGAAATATGTTATCAATCACTTCCAAGCAATCTATTCCAAATTGAAAACCGTATTACGCACAAGTTAGTAATATAAACCAGAGAGAGAAAGTTGTGTACTTTGCTACTAAGCCAAACATAATAAAAAATTGGCTTCCCTATTGATATTTTAAGGTCATAGTGCCCTACATATGAACTCAAAGTGTTTCACTGAAGATGAGAATGGGATGTGAACTAGGATCTCATGATGGATAAAGAATTAAATTGCTCTTCAAAATTTTAAAACAGTGAGAAAACTAGGGCAAATGACCAGTATGCTTTAACCATAAACAACCTATTTTTGGCGTTTTTCTACCAATTCAACTACTTGATTACTAAAACTTGACCTCTACCATGTTGGCAAATAATCCTCCAGAATGCATTTATTTCTCAAGCTTTACACTTAAGTCAGATCCATGATGAATCTAATAATGATCCCATGACTTGTCAATATTAACTGGAGATCCAAAAGTCAACTACAAGTATGAGCATCACTAAGAACATTAAGTAATGAAAAATCAACTCAAAAGACTAAATAAGATTGGTTAGCATCAGTTACGTATCTAGACCATGGCATCTGTTATAAATCACATTGAAGCAGCCATATGTTGCATCTTTAACATGAACAAGCCCCAAGAATCCTATAACTTTACTGAAAAGATAAATCATGAGAAGCATAAGAATGAAAGGAAGAAAAAGTTCTTTATGGAAGAGACATAATACTTCTTTTAGTCCAATAAAGAATCCATCCTATAGTGAACATTCTTAGCATAGCAATGATCCAATTAATATTTTAGTGAATATTGAAGGTCCAAACAGGAATCTTACCAGGAGCAATATAACCATATGATCCTGCAACTGCTGACATTGACTTAGATTGAGGCATGTCAATCACCTTAGCTAAACCAAAATCGCCCACATGAGCGTCAAAATTCTCATCAAGTAGAATATTATTGGACTTAATATCACGGTGAATAATCCTTGGTTTGCAGTCATGATGTAGGTAAGCAAGTCCTTCAGCAGCTCCAAGAGCAACTGTGAACCGTGTTGGCCATTCCAAGCTACAAGAAGACCCATGAAGTAGTTCACCCAAGCTGCCCCTTTCCATGTACTCATAAATAAGGAGATTAGAACCTTGGTGATAGCAAAAGCCATAAAGCTTCACAATATTGCGATGCCTAATCTTTCCAAGAGTTAAAATCTCTGCTCGAAAACTGTTTTCAATGCTGTTCCCTTCCCTGTTTGATGCTAGCTTTTTGACAGCTATGGTTTTTCCAGAATGCATAACCGCCTTATAGACTGTTCCATAAGCTCCACTTCCAATTACATAAGTATCTTGAAAATTGTTGGTGGCCTCAACCAGATCTTGCAAGGTGAACCCCTCCTTTGGTGGAAAATAGACGTTTGAATCCGGAGATGATATCTCATTATCTTGAGAGGACACAACCATCTTGGTTGGACGTCTGATGAAGTACAAAATAATCATTATGAGAATTAGAGAAACACCTCCAACAACAGCTGCAACAATAGTAATAATTCTACCCCGAGCAGTAGCCATATCTCCCACAGGTTGAAAAGATTCGGAAGATGGATTTCCACCGCATTTACCAAGAGGTCCACCACAGAGTCCTTTGTTCCCAGCAAAACTGCTGACAGCCATATTCTGAAACACTGTTACAGATGGTAAGGGTCCAGTAAGGTCATTGTATGAGAAGTTGCATCCCAATAAACTCGACAGATTTTCAAATGTACTGGGGATTTCACCACTCAAATGATTGTTATTTAGCAGGAGGAATTCAAGGAGATTAAGATTTCCAAGCTCTTGCGGTATACTTCCACTGAGGTTGTTATAGCTGAGATTCATTGCAATTTGTAAGCTTGAAAGATAACCCAACTCTAGAGGTATCTCACCAGAAAATAAGTTGCCACCCATCTGCAATTCTGTCAGATGCGAGAGGTTGCCTAAAGATGCAGGTATATATCCAGAAAATTTATTTTCCGAGAGCTTGAGAAGCTCAAGCTGCAGAAGGGTTCCCAGTTCATTTGGTAAAGAATCTACAAAGCTGTTATGGCTGAGATCAAGTCGTTGAAGCATCTTGCAGTGAACGATTTCAGGTGGAATCCGTCCAGTAAGCATATTACTGGACATATTAAAAGTCACTAGTTGAGAGAGATTACCTATTTCTCTAGGCAAACCAGATGCAAAGTAATTGTTTGCAATATGAAGCCTTTGCAACTTTTGGCAATTTCCGATCTCTGGTGGAATTGGCCCACTAAACTTGTTCTGGTCCAACTCAATAGCAGAAAGATTCACCAGCTTGCACAATCCTGAAGGAAAGCTCCCAGCAAGCCTGTTTCCAACCAAACGAAGTTGCACCAATGTTTTGCAGTTGATGACTCCAGTTGGGATATTTCCATAGAGCTCATTAGAGCCAAGACTCAACAGAATTAAATTAGAATGTCGACATAAGTGAGGAGGTATTCTTCCTGTCAGGTGGTTGTCAGAAAAATCAACTACCCAAAGTGGGCTGTAAAGTCCAAGCCCCTGAGGAATGCCACCACTCAAAGAATTGTCAAAAAGCTGTAACTGAACCATTTCAGTCAAATATTGAAACCCAAATGGAATAGGACCACTTAGGTAATTAATTGACAGGTCAAGCTTTGTCAAGTTCCTCAAGCTACTAAGCTCATTTGGTATTACTCCAGTAAGCTGGTTCTGGAAGAGGTACAGTAAGCGTAAGCCCATTATCTTACAGAACTCGGTGGGAATCTCACCGGTCAGATAATTCTCAGAGAAATCAATTTCTGTTGCCATAGACAGATTCCCTATTTCCCTTGGAATGGTTCCGTTCAACTCATTTCTGTACAGATACAACTTCTTCAGAAACTTGAGGCTTTCTAATTCTTTAGGTATTGGTCCCACAAGACTATTCCCATACAGTGCAAGAGTCTCAAGATTTGTACAATTTCCAAGCTCCTTTGGGATAAATCCTGTCAATTGGTTATCCCATAAAATCAGATCAGTCAAGCTGCCAAGCATCCCAATTTCCTTAGGTAATGAACCTCCTATATCATTTTGGGCGAGACCAAGCATTTGAAGGCTCTGACATCCACTAATTTCTGCAGGAATGCTACCAGAAATTGCATTCTGTCCTGCTCGAAATATTCTTAAGTTCTTGAGATTCCCAAAAGAACGAGGCAATGGACCAGTCAGATTGTTGGTGTATGCCACAAACTCCACGAGTGATGACAAGTTTCCAAGATCCTCAGGCAGAGCACCAGAGATCCCATTGTTGCATATATTTAAACTTTCCAAAGAAGACAGCTTACCCAGGTCAGCAGGAATTTGCCCACTGAATTGGTTGTTGTTCAAATAAAGTTGTTTCAACCTTGGAAAATTTCCAATTTCCTTGGGTATTTTTCCAGTGAACTCATTGTAAGCAAGATCAAGATAGGTTAGGTGGATCAAACTGCCAATACTGGGGCTCAGAGTACCTGAAAGATTCATTGAATTCAAATCAAGAGACCAGACTACCGGCTCATAACCTGAAGTGCAATTTACGCCTATCCACGAACATGGTGTCTGATCAGTGGACTTCCAGTTTTCCAGATAATTGAATTCATCATGTAGCCTGTTCTTCAACTCTAGCAGGTATTGGCCCTCCGAATTCAAACCCTCTGATGTACAAACCAATAGCGAGACAACCAGAAAAAAAACAGCAAATCCCACTTCCAAAACTCTCCTTGAATTAAAGTTTCTCAACATTTTAGTAACCCTAAGCTGGATTCAATTTACATCTGCATATGCACAGATACCTTAATTAGACTGCAATGCCGAAGTAATACATTCAATCCCAAAGAAACTACCATAAACAATATCCCAATCATAACTAAAACAAGTATTTTAATAACTTCAGTGATTCATCATCTAAACTAAAGCAGTCTTTGATAAATCAAGTTCCAGTAAACTAGCCACACCGATCAATAACTTTTAAGATTAAACACATTCAAGAACCCATATATGCATTTCAGCATCAACCCAGAAATCAGAACACATGAGGAGGACAAATAGACCAGTTTTAATACTTAAAAAGGAGTTAAAATAATCTAATACATGAATAATTTAGTTAATCAAATTGATAAAAGCCAATAAAGTCTTTAAAGTTAAGAAACCAAACAAACCAGAGAACCATTTACAAGAAAAAGACACCACTATTCAACCATTAAAAAGAAACCAAAAACTCAAAAGAGCTAATAAGCCTGAAACGTACCTCTTTATAAAGTCCAGAATCATTCATCAAAGAAGAAAAAATAAAAGCAACACCATAACCACTTCCTTTCAGCTCCTTGAGACCAATAAAGAATGAAAGCTTCATTGAGTTCATGAATCAAAAGAAAAAACTAAGAGCAACCCAGTTAATCTTTTCCCACCAATATTAAAGGATCTAGAAAGATTTGGGCCCCCCAAAAAGAAAAATCTTCCAAAGTTGAATGAACCGTAAAGAGATTATTTCTTTTGCCCTTTTTGAAAAATAGTATAATAAAACACAAAGATAGGAAAAAGTGAATGACAAAAAAAAAAGAATGATGATTGTGAATGAAGATTTTAAAGCAAATGGTAGAGACGGGGCTGGATTGAGGACTTGGATGAAAGGTCTAATGGCCGACAAGGCATGCACACATTTCATATTATGAAACTCTTATACAAAACACAACACAACATGAATGTTATGTTAATGTAATGTAAATATAATGTAAGAAGAGATGGGATGGGGTGGGACTAGTTACAGTTGCTTGGTTTTGTTTCTCTCTTTTAGTGCTTGAAAAAGGTTGGATAACTGATGAAACTTTTGGGTTGGAGAAAATTTTATTGACAAATTTACAGATTTGATGATTGAGACAGCTTGGTTTGGTAGGTAGCTCCTTGGAAATTGCAATTTTTACCTTCAGTTTTTTATTTATTTGAATGAAAATAATAAATTTAAGTTTGGTTGATAGATTCCTCCAAGTCCTCCACCTCAACCTCTGCTTTCACTCACAGTTTTATGCATTGAGAAGATTTAAAACTAAAATAAAGACAGGATCCATATATTTTGTGATTTTGACAGAATATCTCTCTTAAATTCTCAAAATCTAATTATATTTTCTTAAAGTTTGGTAAATTAAGCTTATACCAAACTAATTGATTTTTTATACGAGTTTCATTCAAATAAAATAAAATGAACCCCTAATAAAAAATGCAGAAAATGTCCAGGAATCCGTAGACTTGGACCTACAAGATGGGTGCATAGGCCGTCCAATACATATGCTTGATGTCAACATCAGACGGTCCACATTGGTCTGACAGCCAATCTTGAAATGTGAATTGGATTTTGAGGATGAGGATGGGACCCAAAACAAACACAAGTCTTACTGATTCTATCACATGTAATAATTCATTCACATGTAAGATTAATCTTCTTTGACTTGTAACACTCGTTCGCTTGTGTTTGAGTTAGGCTATTCTCCACTCAATAAATACTCAAATCCCGTTTCATAACACTTGACTCTTACTCTATATATATATATATTTGTTATAGAACAAAACAATGAATCAATCAATCAATCCACCGCCATTTTATTTATTTAAATCCCCATAAACTTATCATCAAACTATAGCCTACTAAGATAGGAGGAGGATAATCTTATTGTCTAATATGAATACAAGGCCTCGGATCAATTCAAAAATGGTGAACAACTTAACTTATAGGGATTTTATTATAGGGAATATTATATTAATAAAAGAAATCACTGAAAATATTTAAAAAATATGTTTAATTGAATCGAACAAATTGGTGAATAATATGTTTAGTTGCGAAGATAAATGAGTAGGTATGTTATATAGATTACTAAATTGTCCTCCTTTTTAAATATTAATATAATAGTATTTTTTATTATTATTTTTTGAATCATTCTTTTTAAATCTCCTACATTTAAAATTTTTGCTAAAAACACCGACACCATATAGAACTGGGTTTACTTTGTACAAAATCATGGGAAAAGCTACCCACCAACACCCAAAGCCCTGTAACACAAGAGCACACAAACACCCCCTACGCCACCAAGGACATCGACAGTACGAAATGGTGCAACAACACACACATGGACCTGACGTACAGGTTCGGTCGTAACGCCGACCAAAGTCTGGAAATGTTCACAATCAAAATCCATGCTAGGCAAACGTTCCAGCTCTATGTGGCCATTGTCACAGCCAATAGATTAAACTGTGAACAGATCATAAGAACACGCAGATCTAACTTTTTCCGACCTGAAATCTGTGATCCTGGCTGGAAAAGGCCTTACTATGGGTGTAGTGCAAAAAAATCCAATATCAGATTCCGATCTAATGCTCTCCCGCTCCTCGCTACAAGCAAACATCGGATATTCGAATAATCGGATCGGTAGCCGATTGTAATTTAAAAAAATCTAATATGCGATCGGATTGGTTTACAAATCGGATATCCTATCCGATACTGTATTTTACCTAAACTACTGTCGTTCTTTGATTTAAAATAAACCCTAAACAGTAACATGCGGACAATTAGTCACACATCCCTCACTCTCTATCCTCTGCTCGCGGTCAGAACAGCGAGTCAACCTTTCCAATCTCATCATAGACCACTCTCCTCTCATCTCTCCCATCTGTCTCTCTCGGGCTCAAAAACACGGCCAAACAGGAGAGAAAGAAGACCTCGCATCACAAATCTCTCAACCCATATCTCATCTCAGTCTCTCACTCTCTCTCTCGGAACTCCGCATACAACCCTCTGCTCCTCAAGGGAATCGGTCGAAGTCTCGAAAGGAGGTCGAAGCTCGAATGAACGAACCACAGGTAGCACAAAACAGACACACCAGTCATAAAGTACAGTGCCCACAAGCAAACTCCTCTCAGACTCATCGCTCAGTCCCTCATCATATATCGTCCAGAACATCGTCGTCTCATCCTCCGCTCGCAGGAACCAGGCACAACGGACACAAACAAGACACACAGTCAGACTCAAAACAAGTCATCTCAGAACACAGATCATCAGGTCAATCTCACATCAGAGGACCAGAACACAAAAAAAAGGCTTCAAGGACTCTCGTCCAGTTCTTCAAAGAAAGAAGAAGAAAAAAATCCCATCCCATCGGGTCAGGAACAAATTGGTTAAAACATCGCTGCTAAACCCAGAATCATTCATGATCTCCATCTCTCAGCAGAGGTTTTCGCTCAAGAAGGACTCCAAAGAAAAGGCAGAAATCACAAGCTCTCTAGGGTCTCATCACGCTCTCAAAAAGGTCGTGCCAGTCCGAAAAGACGTGGTACAAGTTAGTCACTCAGATCTCATCCGAATCTCTCGAATAAGCCAATCCATGCTCCTCTCAGATCTCGAGTCCTCTTTGCAGATATTCTTATAAAGCCCCAAATCGATTTTGTCAACGCCTGGTACACTGAGCCGGACGCAAACTGTAATGCCTTGGGCTTTGTCGGTCGTATTTCTTTATTATTGTGGTGATGTTGTTTGTAATGGTACAATTTGATGGGTGTTTTTGTTTTGATGTTGATTTGAGTTTGATGTAATGGCACCGTAATAGGGTGCCTTCTCCCTTTGTCCCGGTTACAAACCTTCTATTGTTCATTAGTATTGATTTGTGTTTCGAACTATTCCAATTTACAAGTTGATGGAGGCTGGGTTTGATTTAAATTGTCCGATTGGGTTTGTTTTATGTGTTTTCCAAAGATTGTTGGGCTGGATTGATATTCAAACTTAGTGACTGGTTTGATTTGTTTGTTTGATTGTGTGTTTCTAACGACTGCTATGGTATTTGGTTTGATTGGTGTAATCATGACACACTACATGATGAATGTCGTCCATGAGGTGGAGAGATGAGAGGGCATGGCGAGGTATAATTTATTCCTTATGCAATTAATTTTGTTGTTAATCTTAAAGCTTTTTTTGAAATGATTTATTTGTTTTGTTTTTTGTTTGTTTTTTACAAGGGTGATGACGAGTAGGAATTGGCAATGAAGATGCTAGTCATTTAGGTTGTGACAGTGTTGGGACAACATAGTTAAATGTTTTGTACTTCATGTTATTTTTTAGATACTTTTATCATGTAAAGGAATATAATTTCAATTTTTATTGCTAGAATTTTTGATTTTAATAAGAAAATTTTAAAATTCGGATCAATTCGGATATCTGATTATCTGATCCAATAATACGGATATCCGTAAAACTAGATATCACATAATTCGGATCGAATTGGATCATAATAGCCTGTCCGAAAATTCAGATCGGATCAAGAAAGCCCTATTCAATCGGATATCCATTTGAACAACTACTTACTGGGGCACGACTGACCAGATCCGCCAGTCATGCACCATTACGACGCTGATGCAAACGGCGGTAGTGGTGAGTCACGGCCACGGTGGTCTTGGGTAGTTGGGTGATTTGTTAACTTTTAAACTTTTTTGTGGCTGAGATTTTTAGCTAATTTCTCAAAGTTGGGGAGCTGGTAATGTGTTATTCTTAAACATTTAGAGCAATTGGTTCCGAAATAGTTTTTTAATTAAGGGCAAAATGGGTAGAAAAATCATATTATTCTGGTAATGCTTTAATCTCAGGGTTGGGGGGGGTATGATTACCCCCCACATTACTAACAGTAAACACATATTTACAATAAAAAAATCTCGTATATTTTATTATTTGTAAACCAAACATCGGAATCTATAAAACAAACAAGATTGCCCCCGTTATCTTATATAGCCCCGATCCAGACACCCCATAGTATAATATTAGATTCACCTATGGCTATGACAAATTGACATTAAAACTACTAATAAGTTAGCCATACTTTTTTTCTAAACAGAAGAATCCAAGGCATTAAATGTCTCTATATTTTTAGTTTTTAATTAGGGTAATAAATAGAAGAACTCAATTTATGACTCTAATCACTACTAGGAAATCGAGCGGTCATTAGCACTCTTGTGTATTACAAGAGATCTTAAGTTCGATCCACTTTGACCCTCATAAGGTGACCACTTGAGGCTTATTTAGTTGTTAAATTCAGGGTCATGGAGATTATTGAAGTACGTACAAACTGCATGAGCACTCTAGTTATTAAAAAAAAAAAAACTAAAATTATATGACTACAGAAATTGGGTTAAAGGATTAGTTATAAACGTACCATTGTAAAACTAATAAATTTTTATTAATATTGCACATAATTAATAAGAATATGAGTTTTATGTCTGTATAAAGATTTTGTCAATAATGACTTGGTAAAATGAATGTTTAAGTTAGTATTTAAAATATATCCTTTGATTTTGTGAAGGAAAACTTAGGGTAATTTTTTTTTATTTTTTTTTTAATATGTTATGCCCATAGGCCCTAGATAGCTTAAATAGTTAGTTTGTATGCAGCTAACATCTCCAACATTTCAATAAGAAACCAGTTTATAAAAAATGCACCAATTCACTGCAATCACTTCATAAAAGGAACTCTAGTTTTATTATTATCAACCTTTCTGATAATACATTTTTATATATCACTTCCACAAGCCCTGCCTGCGCCTGGAGCTGCAGATTGGTCCAGATTCTCTTTACTATCTACACTTTTTTGCCTTTAATAAATAAAAGGAATCACTTACCAACCCTTTAACCCCTTTCCAAATGCATATTATAAGTCTAAACCTAACCTGTATATGTAAAAGAGTTCTATT